CGCAGATTAAAAAAAAAAAAAAAATTCTAATACATTTATATAACCCTAACTATCATTCTTTGATACAGAGAATAATATTCTCTTGAACTACACACCTAGTACATGGAATTTGACAACTGGACAACATAAATGGATTCTCCATGCCCTTGGTATGGCTGAAATACTGATATTGCAACATTGGAAAGATCAATGTATGGCTCCATTTATTCAATGGATTAAAAACCTGATTGCGCTTGCCACCTATGAGCAGATTGCCTAGAGACACAGACTTTGTATGGACAAGTATAATGAAATATGGGACTCATTTATACAAAATACAGTAGGTTGAAAATCTTGCCAAGAAAACTGCAGGGATTAAATGCCAATAAGTGTTCCAAGTTCATTTTCTTGAGGTTCCAATTCTACCCATAGATTATTTTTTACTTCTTTAAAAAAAAACAGACATATATATGTAAAATAAAGAGAGAGATGGTGTACCAGTGTGTGAGAATGTACTTAGTGTGTTTCCTTCAGGTAAATTCTTATTCAATAACCCGTATTTCACCTGAAGATTTTTTCTTACTTCAGCTTCACTGTCCTGATATAGACACAACAGATAAAGTAGAGACCAATATAAAAGTAGACTCCAATATAATATTTCTTCAAGGTAAGTAACTACCTTTTAGTAGACTACAATTCTGGTTCTGTCTCTGAGTATTTGTTTAATTGAAAAGACAGGTGGCTGGTGATTCAAAAAACCTAGCTTTGTTTACCATCCATGGATGGCTCTTCCATTAGGGAGAGCGAACTGCTTTAAACAGCTGATTTTGGTTCCATGAAAGGGAAGGAATTATATTATTTATTGTTATTGTGTTTTTACTAGGGTCGTACACTGCCTCAGCATGAGCCTAAAATCCAGGATAGAACAGGGGAGTTCCAGGATATTTTTTTAAGCCTAACTATAGATAGAACATCTTTCTTTAACTTGCCCACTCCCAGATTCAAAGTCTTCTACGAAACTCTATCTCCAATAATTCAGGAATCTAGCAAGCTGCCCATCAAAAGAGGGAGGAAGTTTCTTTTAAAATTACCATAACCTCTAGATGCCTTGAAAGGGGTAGGTAGTAGTAGTTTTGGATTCAATGAGTGAGAGGCTTGCCCTGAAATCAAAGTTATCTTTGTTTGATCATAGTGCCTTGTTAGAGGAATGGAGAGAACTTAACTCATGGTTTCCCATCTCCCATCCTTAGCAATTGTAAGAACATGCTGTGTGGATGTGCTATCTAGCCAACTGGTGTAAGGATTACATTTTCTTTTATGGAAAAGAGAAATTAATCTTTTAGATCTCTCTGCTGCCTACCCCAACAGTTAATGCTAATCTTTTCATGAGGGAATATTATTTATTCCTACTACTCTTCCATTTGCAGAAAAGGTATCCAGCATCAAGGGGGAGGACAGTCATTACACAGCTCTAGTTTTCATTGCCAGGGAAGGAGAGGTTCACTTGTTGAATTCGCCAGATAAGTTGAATGCTTTGGATGCTATGCACCTTGACTTTCAGAAAGCTGGAAGGATGAATTTATGGCTTCATCTTGGTCAGAAAAACGTTCCGGGCTGGATCTGACTGCACTATCCCATCCAATGTCAGAATATATGTAAGATTTCAATTGATTCTTCACAATTCACTATAAAAAATTGAAATTGTATCCATCTTATTTGTGGTGCAGAACCTAGGTGTCTTAGAGATCATTGATTTCCGATGATTGTCCATCTAGTAAGATCTGGAAGAAAGGGCTTGATCTCAGTCCCAATCTCTCAGGATTCTTACGATCAAACACCACAGGATTGGTTCTTGGCCCACTTCTCTAGAGCAGCATATTCCTGAGATCAGAATGGCCCTGCCCTTGCTATGTTTCTGGGAGGCTATTAAGATCTTGCTTTTGTATCTTTGAGAAGAGATTGTTCATTGGTTGCTGGTGAAAGTATTGGTGTTATACTTTGTTGCTTGTTACTGAATTTTTATTTATTTTTTAACCTTTTCAATGTAAGAAGAATGTGTGTGTGTGTGTGTGTGTGTGTGTGTGTGTTACTACATGAATTCTTCCTCCCATCTTTGCATATAGGATTTTAAAGATGTTTGCCTCATTTTCCTTTATTTTGCAGTGGGAAGTGGGATTCCAAAGGTGGATTGTTATTGCATAGAACCCACAGACACACTTTGCACTCAGGACTGTAACTGCGCTCACCTCAAATTACTTTTAAATGCACAGGAACTGCTTGTCCAATCCTGATTTTATTCAAGCACCAATTTCTCCCAATATTTTTTCAAGACTACTTCCAAGCCTGTGCCTATTGTACTTCAGAAAATTCTGGGCCAAATCCTAGTTCAAGGAGAATGCTTGACTAAAGGTTGGGGGGGCTATAAAGGGTGGTGCAGACCACTCATCTATCCTCGAAGCACGAAATGGCTTTGCTTGTTATGATTCCTTGGTTCTTTCTACAGCAGAGATCAGTGAACTTTTCAAGCAACAGGTACAATATCCCAAGCAATAAAAAAATAATAATAGTAATAACACACATACATATTTTAAAATATTTAAAATAAAATATGGAATGAAATAAAAACAGCCCAACATTTCATAAGAAAGAAAAGAAAAATCTTATGAGATGAGGCACTTACAAGATTTTGAATTCCTATATATACCGCTGACTGATGGCCTATGGCTCATTAATGTTATTTGCCATTGCCTATGTTTTACTTTTTCATTAAGTCTTGCCTTCCTTATGCATCTATCAAAACTCATTTCTCACCTTAGGCTATAAAATAACCCTGTTTGCCTCTGACTGGAAATACTGCTTTTATCTGCTTTCTCTTCAGTATCCTCACATAGACATTTAATTTCTACAAACATGGAATCTTATAAAACAGTAGTTTGAATTCGCAGATGTTGGAGGAGGGAATTCCTTATGAGCATCCTCTGGCACACATGTTCAGTCTACAGAGCTTCATAATTTCTGCCGATCCCACGTGTAGAAAACTGACATAATGTTATGGCAGTACCTTTCAGCTGTTCCACCAGTAGCTACCCTCTCCTTTGCAACTAAATGACTGGAAGGTCTGGGTGGTAAATTTGATGACAGTAATGGCTGACCCCACTGATGGTCTTTTATATGCTCTGGGGCAAGTTAGAAGGGCCATCCCTAAGCTGACTGGCTACAAAAGCTTTGTGGTCTTATATCAACCACTCACATCTGGACAGG